TCCCTGGAGCAATCGGGATGATGGTAGCCCGCGGGATCGCTAATTCCCGTCACCTCGCCTCAAGGTGCCCTGCGGGCTTATTATTATTATTATTCAAAAACTGTTGTTTCATATTACAACTAACCACAAGTACTTACATAAGAACTACATAATACATTAACACTCTACAATAATAAAAGCAAATTTCATATTTACATTGATCCATGGCTCTAATGAATTTAACTACCCTTAATTTGATAAAACTATGTGTATAATGTATATAAATCGTTATCAGCAATAAACATTTTTGATATGAATCATGTGCAAAGGTCAAAGGTATTATCTTCTTCAGGAAGAAAAAAAATGGTTACTTGTTTAAAACAAATCCACAATTCATCTAAGTTCAAAGAACTAAGTAAATGCTAAATTGAAAACAAGAATTAAGATTAAAAAAAAATACCGAGATCGCAGCTAGTTGCGTTTAAGATGGAATATTAATTAAATTGTAAAACAAGGTGTTTACAGTCGAGTAATTAACTTTTACATTATGTAAGGAAAGGTAGATATAAAGCTATAGCAGAAAAATATTTTATGTAAAGAGAGAAATTTAAAATAAGTAACTGGAAAGTATATCACTTTGAAATAACGATATTTCATTGAAACGCTCCCTGCCGCTGAAACCAAATTTAAAGAGACTATAGTTCCTTAGGGAAGATCACTTCCCTAAGGAACTATAGTCTCGGTCGCTGCCGAAGACCTCTTGCGGCCTTAGTCAAGATCATGATCATGTAGCGGGACCTCATTCTTTGTCAAGGTCGTATAGATAGAAACAGTCATGCTCCCAAGGAACTATCCTCACTACCTCCCACTCCACAGCCGCCATAGGAAGGGACTATGCTGGCGTTGGGGTTCCTCTACAGATTTGGTCCAATAGGGCTGATGTTCAGCAGTGTTGCTGGTGTAATAATATACTGGGGCCTCAACCTGGAGCAGCAGAAGGAACCGGGTGGTTTTAATTCAGCAAGAGCCTGATATGACTCCCTCTTGCCATACCCAGGGTTAGAGAAGATATTTGGTGATTTGCTCACAGCAAAACAAAAACATATGATATGTAAAAACATGGCAGCCACGTTGCGTTATCTCTACTCAAGCACGCATGTTCTTACAGACTTATAACAAAATGTTTGTATGAGAAGAATTTCCGTGTGTATCCTAATTACGCTATTTTGCGTTGGGTACCAGAATCAACGCTTTAATATTGAAAGCCTTGCATTTTTATTGCGTCGTTATCAAAATCCTAGACACCAAGATTTTGGACACCTATTTGTTATACTGCTGACAGAAGTGGTAATTATTAAAACAAAAAGAATTCATAAAGCTTTAGCCCCATGATAGCATATTGTGGGACTACAAACACACGAGATGCTGAATTCATTCCCAAAAGAATGGTAACCACGAAAAATTTTGAGGAATTTAAAATCTGAAAACAGTGGTAGGTATTGGTGAATTCTAGTTCAACTGAAAAAAACTTACATTTTCGACAGGGAAATATCAGGATCTCTCTTTTGTGCATAAATGTTGTATCCTAATTTATAATGTCATAAATAATTACGCATATTTTGGTTTGTCAAAATTATATTGTGCTACATTGGTTTTTAGCCTACTGTATTATGTATTAAGTATAAATATTAAATCACTAGTTTTACCCCACTACTGCGGGCGAAACCCCTGGCAGAAGTTAGTAGCTAAAGAATGCGCAGACAGAATTTTCCAGCTTTATAGTTTATAAAAAATTTGCGCTGAATTCAAAAGTATTTCCTCCGCCGAAAAGCAAATTCAATTCCCAGTACAATTTCGTATTGGAAAAATCTAGAAAATATTGGAATCAGTTCAGCTATTTGAAATTCGTAGTTTAAATATTAATGCTGCGTACGTTGTACGTTGTATGGCAAGGCAGATCTGACATTTAAATGAAATAAAATGCAAATCTGTATCTATTTGTTTTTCTTAATACATTAGTTTCATTTGATCCTTGAATAGATCTAAGCTTTTAAACAAATTGAAAATGAATGAAACGTGAAATTGTTAAAATTATACGTTGAGATTGTTTGAACAGAAGACGAAGAGAGATTATTTTATTTTGTATGTGTACCTATTTAATCAAATGAGCTGCGTACTTGAATAAGTTGAAATTTAGTTATGGAAATATATACCTATAGTTTTATTACAGACCAAAGGTGGAATAGAATTCAGGTCTTTTATTTTTGTAGTGTGTTACCATTGAGGTATGCAAACAGCATTATTTAAACTGCTTCTTCAACAATACTGTCTTGTAATTGCATTAACATAAAAAACCAAACCTTCAAATCAAATGGATGTATTATTTCAATTCTTCTAATTTATCTCGACCCGACCAGTCCACAGTTTCAAAAAACCTCATTTAACTCTAAAAATGAAATGACAAACCTACCTTCAAAAAATTGTATTATAACATCCATGTTTTTAGGATTTTCATAAAATCATAATGAACATTCATTCTCATTTGCAACACCCAAAGGAATTGCTCCACAAATTCCCTCTGTCGATTTAGAATTAAATCGATTTGGTCTGATTGGATTTTTTTCTATCATCTATAAAGTCTGTTATGCTTACTTTTATTACAAATTTATCTATATTTAATTCATTCATTCATTCATATCAGCCACAGGACGTCCACTGCTGAACATAGGCGTCCCCCATTGACTTCCAGATAGGCCGGTTGGAAGCGACCTGCATCCAGCGGCTTCCTGCGACCTTAATCAGGTCGTCTGTCCACCTTGCGGGTGGACGTCCTACGCTGCGCCGGTGTGCCGGTACGTGGCCTCCTCTCGTTTTTTATACGGTCTCGCAAAGAAACTCCGAGCATAGCCCTTTCCATAGCGCGCTGAGCGACCTTGAGCTTCTTTATAAGGTCCACATTAAGAGACCACGTTTCAGTTCCATAGATCATCGCTGGTAACACACATTGATTATAGACTTTCGTCTTAAGGCACTGAGGTAAGTTGGACGAGAAGATATTGCGTAGTTTCCCGAACGCTGCCCACCCAAGTTGGATTCGACGACATTGGATTTATCTATATACATCCTCTTAATTTAATGCCTTGATCAACTCAAAAAGTCATATAGTTTAAGTCAAAGTAAAATAAATACTAATCTATAATTGCTCACTGCTGAGCAAAGGTCTGTCTAAAGAAGAATTAGCATTAATCATCAGCCTTGTTTCAGGTGGATTGGCGAAAAAAAAATAAACCAAAAATTAAGACTGGGTTTCAACACGTTATTTTTATATCAGTGGTATCATAAGTAAGTGAAAAAAATAATATCCAACTCGATACTTGTCAAAAAAGTTTTATCGTTACTAACCAGGTTTCAAAGTCGCACCCTTATGTATTTTTAACAAGTTAGAATAGGTAAAAAATTCAATATTTCCAGGAAAGGTTATTTTAAAGAACGTAAAAGCTTGCCGTGGTTCATAGCTTTCAGGGTAAATTGATGATGTTACTGCATCGGCCATTTTGAAATTCAATTTAAAGTCAACAAGGGCTCCTCGTGTTAAGCTTGATAAAACGTCATTTCTACTTACAAAAGTGGATGGCGACGTATAAATATTTTGAATTACCTATAACGGACGGACGGTGAAGTTGAATGGCATTTTTAACCAGATGGGTGTTTAAAACAATCAGCTTCACCTATTGAGCGCAGTTCTAAAGGCGCTGTCAGTCTTTTGCGAGTTATTACAGATTAGACCTCACTGATAGCGTTAATTAAAACACGTGATGTTTCACGTTGACATTCTGGAAAACCGTAATATCGCTAAAGTCGAGCTAGGCAATTCACCCCCAAGCATAGCTCACACTTTAATTATAGGTTTAATTAATGTCCTAGAGTTGTGTTTGGGGATATGAAATAGGTATATTTGATTGTATCTTCAAATCTTTTTAAGGTTAAGACCATTGTGTATTAGAAAAAAATGTAATATAAATAAAGTATATGAAAATATATACTCGCCTCTAAGACACTCTCTAAAATCACGTTGGCTAGCAATCATTCAAAAAAAGAAACTAAATAAATAAACCGCATTATGACATCCAAACACGTTCCGTCCTTAGAAGGCCACTAGCTAATTGAATCGTTACATTCTCCCAACAATATGGGATTACGCACACATTAACATTGAGTTCCTCGTGTACTCTGTGATTCAGGATGTGTACATATGTACTCATCGTCTAGACTGGCATACAATTCAAACGCTTAGGTGTGGTCAGTCATTTGTGTCAGCTTTCATTTGGGGCAGAACCTGACCTTGAGTCGTTAGAGAGATATTATTTCCTAACCTCCAGAGATGAAATAAATGATCCGAGTTCGGATTTTACTTTGTAATCAAAGTAACGCGAATCCCTGAACATAATCTGTAACCAAAGATCGTTCTGATAATCTGTGCTTCGTTAAAATGTAAAAGTGAAAGTTAAAGGCTTTTGTGTAATATTTTGTTGGTACGTCGTCATCGTAGCCGAGTATTTACTACTGTTTTTTTTTTTAATAAAAACGTTGCCCCTCATTAGGATTTTCTCCTGTGTCGTGGGTGCGTTTACAAACATACAATTCCACATGCACATCACACCCAGACCCGGAACAACAATTTGTGGATCACACAAAGAGTTGTTCCGTGCGGGAATCGAACCCGCGACACGTTGCACGGCAGCCAAACCTTGCCCAGCCACCGCGCCAACCGTGCAGTCTGTCTCTCTCTACTGTATTATTTGTTTGATTAAAACTTGGTATCAAAATCAAGTTTAGTAAAAATTTTAGTAACGTTTTAAAAGTAAAATCTGGCAAGTCACTATGGTAATGTCAAAATCATTGACAACACTTTGATGAACCAGTCCGTCGACATACTATACTATAACCAAAGAAGGTCATATCCACAAAATCACTGTTCGGCAATTATTTATCTGTTTCTAACAGTATAACTTACAACTTACCGTGAAGTTGGTCTGTTGACACACGCCGCGGCCACACAGAAGTTTGCGCGCTGACCGCTGGAAATTTCTAGTCATCATGCAGTACACTATTGGGTTAATTGCTGAGTTTGCGTGACCTGTTGACAATAATTTGCATTATAAACACAAAAACTACACCAAACATTTTAGCTTGAGATAATATGTAACTCAGTATGGGTATTGTCAAGGGTTTTTCGCAGATTCAATACAGCTAAAGCCCGCAGAGCATAAAATTATATCATTTGAGTACAGATACAAATGAGGCAACTACAGGTTGAAACAATTTTCACACACAATTGTAACTACTGTCTCATTGCCCTATATTCTCTGATCGTTGAAATAACATCAATATTTTAATAAAACAAGCTAACCTTGACCTTCAACACCGCTGCAACTTCTATTAGCCAGGATCTATAGATATAATCACGAAAATACCGAAATATTAAAGCCAACGCCAGGCTTTCAGAAATACTAGCAACCGTCTTGGATCCCGCAACGAAATAAATCATAAGACATCATCAGTGGATGACACAGGACAGAGATATTGCACAGCTGGGAGAAGCCAAACAGTCTAGATCCGCGGAAATTTGACTACAAAGTCTGAGTACAAAGTATGTGGGTCCTATGAAAGCTGTTACACTTATTTCCAGTATTATGTAAAAATACGTACGACAAAAATTGTGTATTAAGTGGTTTAAAGAACTAAACTACACTTGATGGGACCATTTTTTCTAACATGGTCTTACGTTTGTATTGCTAGGAACCACATTCCCAGAGTATATGATGGTCGGATAGCGCAACATGATGACATCAATATTATGAGATTATCAGTAAGATTTAAGTATATAATAGTCTACCAATACCTAGGATTGCGCTTCCAATAAAATGCATTGGCACGATCTTCCCGCCATATTACACAATACATGTGGAGCAAACGTGACGAGAATGATATCGTCTGATTCAATAACCACAGCCTATTTAATATTCACATAATAATATTTCATACATATGGATTTTCTTCCATGCTGTTTGTTCGTATTGCTGTGTAGTTTTCAGAACCATGCCATTATTTTATTGGAGGTCGAAGAAATTCTTACAAATCCTCAATAGTTGCAACAGCCCGAGAAATACATTTTGTTTTTGGTTAAAATGTTTTCAACTTAGAAGTTTCTACATCGAAAAAGTAGTATTGAGAGTTTCAGATGCTTAATAAGTGATAACAGTCTAACTATGCTTTTCAGAAAATAATAATACGGAATCATACTTTAATTTTCTGACCGGAGCGTAGGCAGGCCTTTTTTAACGGTGGCCCATACTACTATTTTCTTCTATACATATAGTGAGTGCAATTACACACATCACACCCGAACCCGGAATAACAATTTAGAGATTAAAACTCGGTACACGTTGCATGGCAGCTGGTTACCCAGCCGGCACGTCCACGTAGTCGAGCCACCACAACTGACATCTTCAAAGTCGCGGGGAGTCAATGGATGCAAATGGCGAGTTGTCGTTCGACGTGGATGACTAAGACGGAGGCCTTTACTCAGCAGTGGATATGGATATCTTTAGGCTAATGGTAACAAGTTTTCTTTGTTGTGTTTAGAACTGGCTGGCAAATAAGATACCTAATGGGAACTTAACACCACAATTAGCATCCACAATATGAGCAAGTTTATCCATCTCTTGAGAATATATATACATCTTCATGTGGTTAGTTTATCTGTTAAGAAGTCAAGCTTGTAGCCTACAAAGTACACATCGAGGAGATGTTACTTCAACTGCTTCTGAACTTTTAATTAAACTGAGAACAAATTAAAGGGTACACGAGTACAGCTAACTATGTAAATAGTTCTGATTTGATGTTTAACTTCTTAAGTAATCATTAATTTGTTTCTGTGTCAAGAGCAATCGAGGTCATACCTTTGGCATTTAAAATTGCTTATTTTACAATCGTGACATGAAGAAAGAAAGGTGATAGATTTCTTGACAAAAGAAAATTTGTCCATTATAAAATTATTCTGATTTCAAAAATAAGGGATAGAAAGAAAAATATTGTTACAGTATCAGATCAAAGGTTTATAAACTGATTTAAACTTTGTACACATATAGTTTCTAACTTTGTGTACTAAATGCCACAGTCATTCTCTGACAGTTAACCTTGGGTGGTGCAGAATGATAAAGTGTTAGGCACAAAGTTACGGGAATGAAATAATAGAGTAAATAAGAGAAATTATTGAAACATTACCGTTGGGAATAGGTAGGTAGGCTTTATAGAGGTCCTTTTAAATTCGATGAGCAAGATATCTTCACTATGGCTACCCATTTCTATGGGTAGCCATAGAGAATCAATAGGATTAGTTTTATTAGGGAATGGCTTATAAAGCCTTTACAAGCCATTCCCAAAGAAAACTAATCAAGATTTTTTTGTAAGGTCTATCGGTTTAAGTAATTAAATGGTGGTAATAACACAACAACATAACCATGTCTTTTTATCAAAAAAAAAAAAAAATGTATGTAAAAATCTTTACAAAAAAATTAAAAATTAACTTAAATTTTAATTTAACATAGAAATGCATAACAAGATTGTATACATTTAGTTAACTACCAAAAACGGATAGACTATAAGATATGTTTAAAAAGACATCAAAAGATATAAGCAAATAAGCGTGTCCTTAAAAAGCATGAGCTCGTATAGAAATTGCGGGGACTCATTCAAGTGGAATGGATAAAAAATATAATGACTCAAGAAAGTATATTATTTGTTTGTGCGAGACAAATATTCTTATTTGTGTGATACGTATTATTGTTCAATCAACAGTGAAACAAAAAGAAAACAAAGAAATACTAGATACACGACCTCATTATAATAATTTGAGGTAGGCACCCCTGATTTGTTCCTGGACAATTTTTTTTTCTGTTTTCCTATACTAAGGTACAATATAAACAATACCCGTTGTTCAAACAGATAATTTGAGCATCTACTTATAAAATTTAAAAACATGCCTGTACAGATCAGACAGTTTTTTTTTAATATTTTGCGTTCATTTTGTTTTTTTATATGGAATATAATATGGAAGACAGAGGAGTTAGCGATAGCGTGACGAGTGACAGGACAGAATGGAAGAAAAAAACATATTGCGCCGACCCCAAATAAAACGGGACAAGGGCAGGAAGATGATGATGTTCATTTTGTTTTTTTATAAAATATGTCAACTCATTTTTAACAAATAAAATGTCTTTACCACTATCAAATCAACTTATTTCTTTGTTTGTATGAGTACATGAAACATTCGCACACGATTAATATTTCCACTTTGAGTTCACTCTTAGCTAGTTGGCATGAGTCACGTGATCTAAGCGGCGGTTATCGGGTTATCTCCAAAGCGTCCTGCATGCCTAGTAGTTTCAGCTCAATGTTGTCTATCAATTAGCTTCAAATCAACTTCCCTTACTCAAAGGAGCATTGGCAATCGTAATTACAGTCATCTATCATTATTTGAAGCTATCAATCTAAACCACGAAACGTAGTCATAAATGCAAATGAATAAATGTCATTTGAGAATGAATTGGTCTTCTGGGGGTGTTTAACTACGCAGAGACATTCAGCAGAATGTATAGGATTTTAATTGCATTGTTGTTTAGTTTGTAAAGAACAATTTATTCGAGTTGACAACGCTATTAGGATTGTGGTGTAGCAGTTAGAAACTGCATGCCATATTGTTATTCTAATTCCCGCAGGATACATTCATTTTGTGAAGGTCAATGTCCACTTAAATTGCATAGCTCCTTTTATTCCTGGGAAAGTAAAAACTAAGTTTGTTATAATAGAAAAAATATTACGATGATACGATTATTCGCGACGATAGAGATTTAAACTTATATGAGGAATTTATTTTTTTAACTACTTAGGCATATCTATTGTCCTCGCATATGTGTATGATATTTAACGAAATATTTTTTTATAAACTTTTTAATAGAAAAGTTTTTTTTTTAAATCCGAAAAACCTAGTTTAATGTGTATTTTTTTGTAATCGATTCAGCATTTAGGAAAGAGTACGTAGCTTCATTTCATCGACGAAGAAGCTGACGTACTATTACCTATTCTATTTTTTACGCTTCTAAAGGTTAATTTGGAATAACTTTGACTGACGAGGTTTTTGATTTTGTGTAGAGATTGAGGTTGGTTGATTTGTTTTTTTATGGTATAAGTCGGCAAAAGAGCATACGGATTACCTGGGCCTCGAGTCTGCTATTACAATAGTGTCAGAATAGTAAATAATTGGTTTCAAAATTGTTGATATTGACAAGTTTGGTAATCTACTAACACGATAGCGTTATTATGATTTTCCAATACCACTTCATTGAAATAATTCTTTAGAACGGTAATCTCGTACATAATGACAAATGAATATTTGACAAAATGCGATAAATTAATAAAAAATGACAGTTCCTTTATTCAATGATTTACGTTTAGAACATTAATGTGCAGTTATTGTTAATAATTCGTTAACAAGACATCTCGTACTATAATTCCATAACGACATCGCCGAACGCCAATGATCTGTTATTTTTAGTTAAGAGATTACGAACTTTTAGCAAAATGACAATGGAATCGTGTAGGAATGACAACACTTTGAAAATAGTAGAATCGGGCCCCTGATGGTAAGCAATCGGCGCCGCCCATGGACACCCGCAACACCAAAGGAGTTACGAGTGCGTTGCCGGCCTTTTGGGAATAGGGGTTGCGGATATAAGGATCGGGAAGGGATAGGGGAAGGGAAGGGATACCTCCGGTAACCGTACTCACACGGCGAAATACGTGTTGTATTTCGCCGTGTGTGTGGGTTGTTTCACGCTGGTATTCTATGAGGCCGTGGTATCACTCCGGTCGAGCCGACCCATTCGTGTCGAAGCTTGGCTCACACACACTGTTTATTTACTTATGTACAAAATTGAATTTTTTATTGACATTTACGAGTACATTTTTCGTACAAGTTTTTGTGAACGCAAAACAAACTTCAGTAACATTTTGATTTAAAACCTGACGGGGTCAAAAGCTATACCTACTGCGTTTTGAAATAAATAAGTCTGTTCCCGCGAAAAGCTATTAACCCAGTTGTTTTTTATAATAAAAAAAAACTATAAAACCAGGCACTAACTTTTATCAAAATCCTTTGACTCTTAGCTTTTACGTGTCAAAGCACTGAAAGTAAGAAATCGAAAAAAATTTAACGTTACGTATGTATACTTTTTTTATTTACTAGCTTCTAGTATGTAGACAAAAAGTAGCCTATGTCCTATTCCGGAGTGAATCCTATGTCTTGGCCGTTTTGGCGTGATTTAGTAACGAACATCCAAACATCGTAACTTTCGCATTTATTATATTTGTAAGATATAAAGCTTGTTAACCTGGATAGCATAAAGCATTCATTATGACCTTTTTTTATCCATTCTACATAAACATTTACCTATTCAGAAACATACGTACTTCCTCAGTTTCAAGACGAACCATATGCAATTATTGATGAGACGATCAAGCTTATTGAGCAAATACGAGTCGAGATCATAGTAACACACGTCATCATAGTCAATTATAGAAAATATTAAGGCCTGCAGAAGGATTGCCTTACTCCCAGGTTGATAGAAATTCCTTAGTCGATTTAGACAGCGTAATGTCCCTGGCACTCTTGTGAGACCTGAATCGGCCAGCTAAGCGTAGCATCGAAATGGAGGCCACAGTTCACGACCGTAGAACTAAAAGGAATGACGCTTCCATCCAATATCACCAGAGGATTACTTTCGCTCTTCACTCTGCTCATCATTCGAGGACTACCGGTAACTATAGCCTGACATTTCACAGAATTGACTGGATCAAAGAATTATTCTATTTTATCATTTCAAGTCCCTATTTATGGTTTGGTTGGAAAAAATGATTCTGATTTTGAACCAACAATCAACTATCTTACCTATAAACAGTGCATACGGTAACACCATGCTGAGGTCCTTCGCATTGACGAGGTTGACATCCAGCAGCAGCTGCATGATATTGTAAGGCATCCAGCACATAGCGAACAGCACTGCCAGGAGTAACAGGATCCACGCTACTCGTTTCCTCTCCTTCATCAGTCTTAGACCCTGCAATAATGGTACACTGTCATAAAAGGTAGTTGGTAAAATAAGTAGTAAACAAAAATATTTCTTCATCATCAGCCTATAAGTGCCCACTGCTGAGCAAGGCCTCTTCTCATACGGAGAAGGTTTAGAGCATTAATCACCACGCTTGCTCAATGCGGGTTGGTGATTTCAAACCTATAATTATAAGTCCAGGTTTCCTCACGATGTTTACCCGATGTTGATGATGATGTTATATCATAACAGAAACACGAAAATGTTAACGCAATATAAATATGAATTTATATTTCGAACGAAACCTTTTTACTGGCCCAATTTAGTGTGAAAAGATTCCATTAATGGCGCCAATATCTGATAGGTAATATTTATTCAACAAGTGTCTTGCCTATAATGTGCCAATCAATAAATAATTATGTAAATTTATTCCTTTTCTTTTTTTACATCTTTGATGTTTTTCGCTTCTGCGGATTTTTTTTACTATGGGCGGCAAACGAGCAGACGTTTTACTTGATGTTAACCAATCAACGTCGCGAACACTCGCAACAACAGAGGAGTTACGAGTGCGTTGCCGATCTTTTAGGGATTAGGGATTTGGAGATTCCGATTGGGTAGGAATTCGGGGATGGGAGGTATTGGGGTTGCCTCCGGTAACCTCAAAGAACGCTGTGGTCGTTTCGCGCTAAATTTTGAGTCGAGCCATTCGTGCCGAAAAATGGTTCTCTCTCCCACACTTAGATGAGGATTTTTGTTTAGACCATTTTTATTTCATTTTAGTTAACTGCACAGCCGGCACAGTGCCTGGGCAATTACTGGTTGTTGCAAAACCTGTCGCATGGAAAAAGTCTGTTCTGAACTACAAATTGTTCCGAGTCTGGGAGTGATGTGTATAAAAATTTGTATGTTTGTATATACACATGATACAGTAGTTATTCCTAGTGTGTTGGCACGATGAATGTGCAACCGACTGCCGCGCAACGTGTTGCGGGCTTAACTCCTGCACCAAACAACTAGAAAGAAAAGAAAGAAACAACTAAGATACCTACAAGAGAAAACCTTAGAAATGAAAAGAAAAAGAAAAGAATATCACCATCCAAATTACTTTTTGATTGGTTGGGTAGTGTATCTATTAGAATTATTATAATTGTTTCAATCATCAATAAGCAAACGTTTGGCTATTTTTTGTATTGCTTACCATCAGGTAATCCTGATGGTAAGCTCCTTTGCCGACCTATTACATAAAAAAAAAGACTGTGTGTCACGTTTGTAAGAAAATATAATTTTGTAATCATTTTAATAATATTTTAACCAGCAACTGCTCGATATTATAAGGCATCATTTTCATTAGAAACCGTTTCTTCTGATTTATTTTTGCTGGAATAGTAATAGGCCTCATTTTTGTTAAGACACGTATTTGATATGTTGGATTGAAAAGACAAATGTCAGTATTTGTGACTTAGAATAACATTTTGAAGGGATATTATTACTTTTCCGTTCAATCTGGAAAATAATCCTGATAATCCTGAGTGACGGCCGATGGGCAAGGAAAATAATAAAAATAGATTATAAAACAACAACAATTAAAAGGTTTAAACAGAAAAAATCAAAAATGTAATACCTAATAGTAGAAAATAATTTTATTTTCACTTGGACTTCGAGGCCTCAGGGGCATAGGGTCTGCGGACGGCGAGTAAGGGTAGCTCGCCGCCCGACCACAACCAGACCCGAGCGTACGGCGCGTAGCGTTCCACGCGCGCCTCAATGAGCCAATAGACCACCACAGACGGGGCCCAATAAGGCTGATGTTCAGCCGGGGTTGCGGGGTAAGCGCAATGAGGCACCGCGACATCGGCCCAGAGCAGGAGAAGGAACGGGGGGTTTTTAGTCAGTAAGAGTCTGACACTCCCTCCCGCCCGGCCCGGGGCGGGAGAAGTCATTGGATGATTTTCCCATCACAAAAAAAAGGGGGATAAGATTCAGGAGGATCTCGCATACGGTGAAATACAAGGCAAGAGTCGTTTAACACCGGTATGTATTCTGTAAGGCCGTAGTAGCAATCTGGTCGAGCAGGCCAATTCGCGCCAGAGCGTGACTTTCCCTCACTTAACATTACCTATAATGTAGGTGCACATACGACTGCTGGACCACTAAAATGTATTTTAATGTTACAATAACATAATAATATTATGACCAACCAACTTCAGTGATAACTAGTAGCTACCTTACTACAGTTTACTCAACGTACACTTAACGTAAATATAGCTACGTGAAATTATCAGGTAATGTTAGCTCAACGACACCCGGTCTAAATTGTAATTTGAGTATACAAAGCAAAATACACCTACGTGTAAAAGTAATTGGGTAAGTAGTACTTTGAACGTTTATATTTCATAAATTAATAATCGCTTTTTAAATAAATAAAATTTAATTTAATTTAATAATATTAAATTAATTATTTAAAAGTTGGACTAGGCAATTTTGTAAACAGGAAAAGTGGTCATGATCTTCAATGATTTCATATCCAATTTGATAAAAGGTATTAAAGTGTCTTAAATATTAAATATGAAACAAAGGGCTCGGTTTACAAAAAAAAAAACAAATATAAAAACTTTTAATTTATTTATGTACTGCGTAAATTCATAGCACCTTGAAAGCATCTTGCGATAAAGTTTAAAGTAAATTCGTTCTCAAGATAAAACTCATCACAAGAAACAAATTACAAGCAAATAAATCGACACAAATATTTGCAACACGTGAGCGACATCAAACGATATTTTCACAAATTCTTCTAAAACAAGATGTCGTTAAGTCGATATTTGTATACTTGTAACAAACATGACAGACGGATCATCTTGTTTGTAAGTTCTAAAGCGATCATAAATTGTTAAAGAATCGTTAAACTGAAAAGTTTTAGACAAGGAAAACATTGTAAATATACAGTTTTGGGATTCTGTTTCAAAAACTGTTGGAAATATTTAGATTTACATTACATAAACAGTTTAAAAAAAAGTACTTTATTTTTACAATTCGATTTCCATCGAACATAGCCGAATGATGTGGTTGACATTTTTATGGAATAGGAGGCAAACGACCAGACGGATCACCCAATTTTAAGTGATCTGCACCGCCTATACTTAGCGGACACCCGCAACCTCAGAAGAGATACAAGTGCGTTAACGGTTTTTTTAAAAAGGAGGACGCTGGACGCTCGTTTCTTAAGTGTATGAAGGTGGTATAGATTGTGGAATGCCTTCGCAGAAAGATTATTCAACAGTTTTGAATTTTATCATCTGTATTTGACTCTACATGCATAATTATAACAATGTTTTGATATCAAAAATAATTAACAAATAAATGCTATTCATTTTAAGTACTTAAGTAATCAAAAAAGTTTAGAATTCCTTACGAAATTCCGATTTTTACGTGACCAACTTTTGAAAAATATAGCTTGTCAGATAAAATTATTACGATGTTAAGGAAAATGGCGAATAAAATAAGAGCTCCTTAGAAATAATGTTTCGAATTACTATTAAGAATTAGCTTTGTTTAGTAACACTTGAGCTGTAATATTTTCGCGTTTATCATTTTATAATGTTATTTATTTGCGCCTTTTCATAAAAATATATTTAACATCACATTTAACATTTTCTTCTCTGTGAAACTGCTGGCAGAAAATGATTCTGGATTATCATCTGATGTAATTGTATATAAAGAAAATAAATAAATAAATAATGTCAATGTTTTTATTTGAATTGCCTTTGATGTTGATAGGACTTTCAAACGACATATTATTCATGCTATTTAGTCAATATATGGGCAAAAATAACGTTTCATCTTGTGACGACTCGACTACCAAAGTAGTATTCATTCAAATTATTATCATAATTAAATCTCGTAACTCCTTTGGTGTTTCGGGTGTCCATGGGCGGCGCCGATTGCTTGCCATCAGGTAATCCACCTACTCGTTTGCCGATCATAAAAAAAAAATTGAAAATGTACAAGTATAGTTTATACAGCAATTAAATTAACTAACAAATATCCATGATCAATTTTAAACAAACCTGTTGCATGCTGACGTTGCCCTCGTCGATGTCGAATGGAGGTCGCACCGAGCAGAGCGTGCGCCCCATACACGCGTACGACATTATTGTTATTGACCCTGAGAAGAAAATAATACAATTATTTCAGAAATACTACTAATATTGTTAATGTGATTTTTTGTTATTCTTTCACGCAAGAACGGTTGGACCCTATTGATTGAAATTTGTATAATATAGGCTACTTTTTAATGACATAACACGCAGGCGAAGCCGCTGTCGTATGTTATGTATATTCGTATATACATATATTCGTACATACAACCAGTGTTGACGATATTTTTATAGATAGATCGCAGATCGTTCAAAGTAAAAACGTAAGCCATTGCATAACTGAGAGATGATCTCCGTCCACCGTAAGCGCGGGTCTGCGGACGGCGAGTAAGGGAGCTCGCCGCCCGACCAGACCCAGACCCGAGCGTATGGCGCGTAGCGTTTCGCGCGCGGTCCTTCAAACACCCAATGGACCACCACAGACGGAGCCCTATAGAGCTGATGTTCAGCCGGGGTTGCGGGTTAAGCGTTATGAGTCACTGCGGCCTCGGCCCAGAGCAGGAGAAGGAACGGGGAGGTTTTTAGTCAGTAAGAGTGTGACACTCTCTCTCGCCTTACCCTGGACGGGAAAAGTCATATGATGATTTTCCCCTGACAAAAAATGCCATTGTATAACAAATAAAATAAAATACGCACATAAAAAAAACTTTAATAACAAAAAAAAAACATTAGGATGTATTTTATAAAAAGTTTGCAGCGAGTAATGAGATTTCAATAAACAATAAGGAAAGAAGGCATTTTCCTTATATATCCAATATGTAGCACGAGATGTGAATACTGAATCTTGTTCATTTGTTTTTTTTTCACATCTTATCACTTAAGTAAAAAAGTTTAACATTTTTAATAAAAAGGAAAAGCTTATCTTTCCAACCTCTTTATAGTGGCCAGAGTTATGCGTGCAAGTTGGTAAATTATAGTGCAAAACCTAGCTTGTATATGACAATCATTACATTGACTGCACGGTTGACGCAGTGGTCGGGAAACTGGCTGCTGTGCAACTTGTTGCGGTTGCGATTCCCGCACGGAACACCAGTGTGGGGCAACGTTTTATAAAAAAAGAAACAAAAGGGAAGGAAATCCATTATATTCTCCAGACTAGAAAAAATTCTTTGTTGTGACGTGGTGTAAAAAAAACAAAGACACTTAAGTAATTGTTATTATACTAGTCAGAATGTCCAATCGGTTTAATCCTCAAAGAAACATAACCCAAAGAAATAAGGCAATTACCTATGTAGGATTTACCTGTAAGAAACATTTTTAATCATTAGCAATGCCTATAAAGTGCCTACTGATGAGCTAAGGCCTCAACTTACACAAAAAAAGCTATAAACGTTAATCACCGAACTTGGTCGAAGCGGTGATTTCAAAATTTATAATCAGAAATTATTGAGTCGACGTTTCTTATACATGTTTAACTTCTTATAGTGATGTGTAAGTTAACTTAGAAAGTACAGGTCCCATTGGTTGTTGACAAATTCAAGTGACTGAAAATAATTTTACAGAGGGCGCTAGTAAAAATGGTTACGTCTACCAACCTTAGTGTTTAGATGTGAGTGATAAAGTATTCCTAGAAGCTAGGTACTAGGTATAATAGGTATTATATGAATAATTTTCCTCATTTCAGTAAATTGATATTGATCTATTTAGTCCACAAAGTGCCGAGCCCCGTTTCAGTGTAATAATAGATCACTTTTTATAATGTTACTTTTATGGAATATTTGATATTGTATGGGCGAGCCCAACGCTTTCACGGCCACAATAGTTCGATGCAGACCCAACATGGATAGAATTGATGATGTCGATAAAATAGACGAATACTATTTCTAATGGTTACTTTGCAAAATATAGATAGATATCGTTTATTTTTCGAAGTATCTTATGATCGTTTTATCTCAATCATTTTTAAATCACTAGTTTGATCTTGAACTGTTAGTTCAGTTCTGAATTGTATGTTGTTTTTGTGAACCTTTTTTTATTGTATTAAATGTTTCCAGTATTATAGTAACCTTATTAAATGCTATATTTATTATAATCTGGATTGAGCAGCTGCACACACCGCGACGTCATAATTATTATTATTTGATCGGGGAAAATCATTATGGTTTCCTGGATCCGGATGGAGTTGAGAAAGAGTGTCAAACTCTTACTGACTAAGAACTACCCCTTTCGATCTCCTGCTCTGGACCGTCGTGACCGATGAGTCGTGGTGACCTCGAGGTTAAGGCGCCCGCTTCTTATGCACGAGGTTGCGGTTTCGAAACCTGACAAAGTACCAATGTGTCTTTTCCAAGTTTTATGTACTTTCTATGATTATTCAGACACCCCGGACATACAGTGAAGGATAACACCGTGAGGATATTGTGGACTTATAATTTCTAATCATAAGTTTGAATATTCCAATCCGACTTTAGCAACCGTGGTGATTAATGCTCAAACCTTCTTCATGTGAGAAGAGGCCTTTGTTCAGTAGTGGGCACTTATAGGCTGATGATGTGTGCTTTGGACCGAGACCGCGGCCATTACTGCGCTTGCACAGTAAACTAATATCTATGTCGTTCTTAGAACACATTAAGTGTCCTGGTATCGCAAATGTAAGGATAATTAATTGCCGACCTTTCGTCAAGTATACTGAAAAAACAATACAATAGGTAAGGTATTTTCTGTAAACAAAACAAAATGTGTACAGAGACGTCTCAATGCATATAAAATACTCATGTCAATGTGAACTGGACGACCCAATTTATGCTGACAATGTTTACAGACAGAAAATATTTCGTATTCGATAGTAGATTAAAATAATTATAATAATTCAACATGTAAATGATATAATCTATTACTTATAGAAAAAAAAGAAAAGAGTATGAAAAAGTTAAGTCAAGAACAGCAAAATAAAGTCAAATTGTACAGATTTTTCAGATACCAACATTAAAAATGTATTTATAGTATAACAAAACGAAATTCAATAAAGCACCTTATTTTTGCCAAATTGTCACTCTAGTATCACTCAAAGAGTAAATCCCAAAATAAACTTACATATAATATTAGCAGTAGAATATGTATGTTGAACATTAGACAACTCTTTCAGAACCTTCGAGTCCATCCAAATTATGTCTGTGTGAGATAGCTTTTTGCGGTAAGACCATAATTTCATGATTATAATTGTGTTATTTGAGGTTACGTGGTGTACAATAAATTGTATAACAAACAAAAATAAATAAACAACATTACCGAAATATACTTCAACACAATTTGTTTTGTAGAAGGCACAAAATTAAAGCTATAACTTTTCCCCAACTATCTCTCAGTCATCTCTAACTGTTGGTACAAAATGGCGAAGTCACGGCGTAATCGAGTGTCAATCACCGCATCCGATCCGTAGCGTTTGTCCTTAATTATGTGTAGGACTAGGGAAATTATTGCAGTGGCTTTGATAAAGTAACTTTTGCGCCAATTGAAAATGAATTAAAATGTTCAATGAAAGATAAACAGTTGTGTGCGAAATGTATTTCAATTTAATATTATAGTGTTGAAGAGCCAAGCATTATTCGGCTCGACTGGAGTGATACCACAGCCTCACATAAAACCGACGTGAAATGGCCAAAGCGTTGAGTTTCGTCGTGTGACTAAGATTATCCCTTCCTAACTCTTAAATCTCAGAAAACATAATCCCCAAAAGGTCTTCAATGCACTGGTAACTCCTCTGGGGTTGTGGATATTCATGGGTAGCGCCGATTGCTTACGTAAACTGTCTTTCGTCGATTGCCGCCCTACCACATAAAAAAATGCTAAGTACCGAGGCCGATTTTCAGGTCAGAAATGTGCTATTTTTGAAAATATTTTATAGTAAACAGTCTCCATAGAAATAAGTACGCTTCAAAGGAAATAAGTTACTCTTTCAACAAGTATGAGATATGACGTCACAGTTGTATCTTTGTGACGACATTGAAACTTAGTATTAGACGGTAATAGCTCAAGTTTTGCTCCTGACATATTGATGCCTAACTCACAACGAGAGGATATGAGTATTATTCAAACAAAGAGTAACTGACTGTCGAACTACTACATCTTCATACATTGAAACTTTAACTGTTATGTCAGTTGCCTTCTGTTACTTAACGATGTCGAGAATGATTTCAGTAACAATAGCTTTATATATTATGTACATATTATTTTAAAGACATTTCCTTTTCAAGTATACAAGTGTGAGATTGGAAAACGACCTCGCGTCAAAAGTTCATAAAAGTCTAGAACAAAGTGTTCTTAACTATCCCCATTTCAATACGGCGTGGTTTGCGAAGAAGCAATTTTATTGCACTAGAATTCCGTTTTTGTCTGGTCTTTGGAAGTCTACATCAAATCAAACAGAAATATGTAATTAAAACTCTGTGCATGGCGTCTATGACTGTTAAAGTCTAAGTTTAGGAGCATAATAAAATCGATAAAATCTTTTAAATTGTACCTAGTTATGCTAACGCTCCCAAAGAAAAGCAAGTTAGAATGTAAATAATGATTACTAAGTAGGTAGGTACTTACTACAATGTATATTTGTTGTGATAATAAAATCCATTGAAACAACAAAAGACAATCTAGTTATAAGGAAATTATGTATATTGTAAGTACCTACTGGTATTGACCTTCATTTCTTCCAGGAATTCGCTAAAAACGGAAAACAATGACGACAACATACCTAATTTTTTTCTGAATATGATTTCTACAGCGGGTAATATTCCTTAAGATAGGATTTCAGGCGAAGTGGGATCTTCCATCCAGGGAAAGTGAACAAGGTAAGCAGCATAATGCCCAAGAGTTGTAAGTTGGGATTATTTATCAGAATTAAACATGAATGGCTCGATATAGGATAGGTAAGTGACATCCTAAGCTAATTTTTTACCATCGTTAAATCTTGTCCGTCATTATATATTTATTCAAATATAATATAGTAAAAGATTACTATATTCAATATATGACAAATTACTCAATTTGTATCTTTGAAGCAATCAAGATATAA